ATTTTGATACACAAAGAGGGAAAAGAATTATTCTGCATAACTAATTGTACATGATACTGCTCCACTTAATCATTATGATCTCTCTTAACCTCGTAGATCTATCTATTTTCAAAACTCTTGTTTTTTATTGTAGTGGTGGTACAAGTTTTCATGTCTTATTCTTGTGTAAAGCTTCAATTTCTTTTTGCATTACTTTCAATCACAAAGATGTATCATGACTACATGTAGCCTCCTTAAAAGTTGATAGTTCTTTAATATTGCCCTCCAAAACGTACTCCTTATGCCAAGCAGGTGGTACCCTTTTACAAGTTGATCGTTAGTGCCTTGAATTGGACTGGTACTTGTTCATCATGCTCGGGTGTGCTTTTTAGAAGAATTATCTTTCACATGAACTTCAATAGTTTATGAACTTTCTATCCCTGTAAGCATTCTTTTATAGATCTTTTGCAACGATAACATCTCTGTCGATCATTACCTCAGAGCTAGTGGGGATATCCCTTCGTTCTATCAGTATAGTCTAAGATTATGCATTTTTTGGGCTTAGGATCAAGTTTCGTTCTTTTCTGAGCATTACACATTGCATATTCTGGACAACAAAAAATATATAAGGAAGAATAATCATCCCACTTACCAATCCATATTTTTATAGGTGACTTCAAGTCAATTGCTGTTGAAGGAGATCGATTGATAACATAACAGGCAGTTCTTATTGCTTTTACCCAAAATCACTTGGCCACACCTACAGGACTCAATAATGTTCTGGTTCTCTCTAAAAGAGTTATGTTCATCTATTTTATCATGCCATTATATCGAGGATTATATGACACTGTAAGCTGCCTCTTAATTCTTTCTTGCTCGTGGAAAATATCAAACCCATTGCTTGTATATTCTCCTCTACTATCTACCCGCAAACACTGTACGTTGACTTACACTGTAAGAGTATAGAGTCTTCTTTTTAAGAAAATCTTATTATGTAGTGACTTGGCTTCATATAACTTCTGTCAAAAGTATTCTGGATCTCCTGTATTATTATCTTTTCTTTGCTATTGGATAGAATTTTTCTGCCTGTATTATTATCTTTTCTTTGCTATTGGATAGAACTGTCTGCCAATGTTAGGTATAAGTTGGCGATTGCATTGGCATCCATGTCCTACAACTTTTTGTCATTTAAGAAATCTTCCATTCTATCTCGGATTGTCGCTATATAATTATCTTTCTTTAGAAGTGCCCTCGTCTTCATATTCCATATGGAGAAATTACTTTTGTTGAGCTTTTCAATCTAAAACTTTATCGTCATTGTTTTACTTTATATGCTTTCCTCCTCAAACTGACTCCCTAAAATTGTCATGAACAATTACCTTACGATATTTGGCTTTTCCGAACCTTTAGATTTGATATCACTATTGGGAAAAGAGAAACAAAAATCAAAATCGGATGCAAACAAGTAATATAAAGCTAAAACAATAAAGTCGAAGACCAGAATCAACTGAAATAATAACACCAAAATATAACATGATAAAACTCTCAATTGATTGAGAAAAACATCCATGGGCAAGCTAGAAGGTATTTGTCATAAAAGATGGGAAGATAATTGTCTCTCTAATGCATGGAGAAACAAGACACATTTTCTCTTGTAATGCGAGAAACTAAAAAAAAGAAACTCAAAGATTTCATAGAAGAAGAATCTCAAGTGTTATAATTGTGGCAATATGGGGCATATAAAAAAAGAGTTGTTGGAAGAACAAGAAGAATTTAAACAAAAAGAATGGAATAAACCCAAAGATTTTAGAGATGACAAAAAGTAAGAGAGGAATGAAGAAGAAGAAAGAAAGAAGTGAGTAGAAAATGATAATCTTATGTAAGATCTTAAATGGGCTAATAAATCTGAGGCTAATTTATCTCTTTGGCTAAATCTCATGACTCCGCTAGTTGGTGACACCATCACAACTTCAAACTCTAGATCTCTTCGCTTTCGATCTACATAACTTTTCTAGCAACTTTGGGCTATCAATAATCTTTGACACATAGTTTAAATATCATCAACATTTCTTTGAATCAATTAAGATCTTAAAAGTTTTCGTTCTCTCACATCATCCTAGTTCATAGGTGGCCTACACTTTCTACCACAAAGAACTTGCAATAGGTCATCTGTATACAAGTGAAAGCAATTATTGTAAATAAACTTAATTAAGTGCAAATGTATATCCCAATTTTCACCAAAGTCTAAGCCACAAGCTATTGAGAGGTCTTTTAAGAGTTTGTATTATTCTTTCAAATTGATCATCTATTTAGGGGTAAAAAATTATAGTAAACTTTAACTATATACACAAAGATTTTTACAGACTATATCAAAACTTAAAAGTGATCCTTTGATCTTTATTAGAGATAATATAAATTGACATCCCATAATATCAAATGATTTATTTAATATATAAACTTACTAATTTATCCAAGTAGGTCTTTAGAAAAACATCTTAGAAATCTCAGGATATATTTTAATATTGACTTCTTAAATTCTTCTCTAAGAATGAATGTCAAGCACTCCTAATATCCATTTAGTAATACTATGTAGCATTTAAGACTAAAATAATAGGAGAGAGCTTTTTTGAATTCCAACTAATTGGAAAGGTGATTGATCTAGGGGTGAGAAAGTAGTGGTGTAAACAATTGACACTTGTATGATATGTTGAAAGTCAGTTCATACTCAAGATAGTATCGAAGTTTCAAAACTCTAGTAAAATAAGGTCTACTAGTAAATCATGACTTTTAATAGTAATAACATAGTTTTTAAATATATGGTAGCTACCATAGAGTTTCTAACTAGTATTGTTACCATTAATATATTGCTCATTATTTAAGGGTTTTTTTGTAGTCTCGTAGTAAAATAATATAATATGATAAATACGTAGAATCAAAATATGTCAACATAGTAGCAGGCATAATAGAGTATGATTATACCTTAAACGATAGACTTGAAGGCTTTAGCATCATGGTGGGCGAGTTTATAAACCCTCGCTTGATCTCCCCCCTAGGATCTTATCGTTGACTTTTGGATATATATTTGTCTCACAATTAACTTATATGGGTTCCTACTCAATATCGTTAAAATTATTTTATTTTATTTTTTATTTTCAAAATAGCCTCCTATTAGTACTAGACTAGATTTTAATGAAGAGTAGACCTTCATCTATTGCTAGATAGAGCCAATTGAATTTTATTTTTGAGTTGACATTACTATGTTTCTGAATAAGGATTACTACTAACTTATATTTTTATGAATAAATAAATTATAGTAAATATTTATAATTTATGCATATTAAGTGCTATTTATTTACCTCTATCTAACTCTTGATATACTAGTGTAAAGGTGCTATAATCTGGATTATATATAAAAAAAATTTCAAAACATGACAAGTCGATCCTCTACCTCCATCGTCCGTCGTTGTGTGTCTCTATCTTCTTTCTTATATTGATCTTGGGACTTCTTGTTTCTTTATGCTAAATAATTCGTCATTCTTCAATCGATCTTAGGGTTTCATTTTTTTGGTCGAATCTTGAAAAGATTCGGTGGTGCATGGACGAAGAATGTAGGTGCGGTCATTGGTTAAGCAACACCTTGATTCTTCAACTGTGATATTGAGATAATCACGAAAGCTAACGACATCATCATATATTGCTACTACCGTGACTTCTATCTTAGGCAAGAAATGAATTAACTCCTCGAACCCCGATTTGTTTTACACGGAAGTTTTTAGTTCTACGACCGCATAAGCATTGTTGTGTATTTTTGTTGGGTTTGACGTAGTTTTAGATAGAAAAAAAAAACCTAGTATCAGATTCAGATTTAGAATTGAAAACATTGTTAATTTGTTGGGTTTTAATTCATATACGATAAACTAATCAATTCATCAGGTAAAGAATTTTACTCTAAAATCAATATGATTTTATTTTATTTGATTGCATGTAATTAAAAAGAATCCTTTTCTTAGAATATTCCTAGGTTGATTTTCCATTGTCAATAAAATTCAAAAATTGATTTAAAAAAAAAGTATGATATTTTTATTCTTGATTCTTGATTTAAATGAAGCTCCCTGTGATTACTTCTCAAAAGTTGATCAAATTTATTTATTTTTTTCTCTTCCTAATATGCAAATTAAATACATATGGCAATACTTTTCTTTCCGGAAACTATTTTTATTTGCTTTCCCTGAAGAGATCAAGCATGAAACACAATAATTATACCGCCCGAAAAAGAAAAAAAAAGTATTTTATTCGGAAGAGGAGCTTCACATCAAAGCTATAACCAACGGAAAGGCGAAACGGCAAGCAACTCACCCAAGCATATTTGTGAAGGCTAAAGCAATAATGCAGATCTGCGTCAAGTCGGAGTCCTCCTTGGTCAAGGGCGAGGGGACCTGCAGCTCCTCGAAACCCTCCTCGCAGGTGCTGGGCGCGTCCACAGCAGCGCTGAGATAAGTCTTAGCGTCGCCCAGGCGACCCTCCTTGATGGCCGGGATGGACGTGTCGAGGTCTGAGAGCACGTCCTCGTAGACGCTCTCGCAAGACTCCAAGCACTGCTTCTTCTTCTTATCACTCGCCTTGGCTAGCAAACTCTTGACCTTAGCGCTGACGCTGGTGGCTTTGTCCTTCGTCAAGCTAGCCGCTATCACCGCCAGCCCCTTCTTGTCCGCCGACCGGCTTCCCGGGTACGAGCGGAGCGCCGCCACGCAGAAGTCGTACTTGATATTGGGGCTGCTATTCGCTGCGTCCCTGCAGGCCTTCTCCACCGATGCCTCCACCCCGGGGAGGAGGTGGTGGTGGAGGAGGACTGCCACCGCTAGGAGGATACAGATGGAGGACGGCCTCATCGCTCGGGCCACGGATCTGCTGCTATCGATAGCTTGGTTAGGTTATGCGTGGGCGTAAGGAGACGAAGTTGATATCAATATATATACTTATTGAGGCAAAATATAAATGATTATAAATAAACAAAACAAGTACAATGCAAAAAAGAATCAACTAGCTTTACTCTTTAGAATAATGCTTTCTAACATTTCGTTGTAGGATATTCTCTAATACGTGCCTAAAGAGAATCAGACATGAAAAATGAAAGTTTGCATGTAAGGATAAGTAGTAGTTTAAGGATAATCATGAGCTTTTTAATAGGCGGAAAACTTTATCTGCGTGGAAATGTTTGAGAAACCAGGAATTCCAAATTCCCTATGTCGTATTCTACAAGAAAAATATATGTTATGACAGGAATGAATTTACTAAATATATGTGCACCAAATAGAAATTTAAATAAAATAGTAATTCAAAGAAAATGACAAGGTGATCATTCTCTTTCGTTTCTTCACGTGAAAGAAAGCTCATAAGAACTCCTTTAAACTCTGAAATCATCGTTTGTCATGCATCTAATTCGAAAGCTCACGTAATGTGTTCAAGCTCCTACCAACCAAATGTTCGAACAAACCTGCTGTCCTCTTTTGGTGAACTCAGATGCATTACGTACATATCAGCCTGGGCAAGCTTATTGCTTCGCAGATTGTTGAAAAAAAAAAAATGGATACGGTCAAACAGTATAAAGTTTAAGCATAAAATAATTAGATCAATAATTAAAATTAAATGAAATAATGACATCAAGATATAACGTGAGAAAAACATCCATGCACAAACTAGAAGCTATTCACTATAAAGATGAGAGTACAACATTATCTTTATTATAAGGAGAAATAAGACACCTTCTCTTTTGTAATGAAAATAACTGAGAAAAAGAAACTTGAAAGAAACCAAAGAGGAACCAAATGAAGTAGAAGACTTCCTCTCCTCACTTCTCTCTTTCTTTCTCTCTATTCCTTTGATGAATTGGATGGTTCTTCACTCTACATCTCCGTGCCTTATATAAGCATCAGAGGGGTTGAATAAATCTCCTCGATGCCACCTTGCACGAGAGATTACAACCATGCATCTTACTCATGCGTGGGAGGTTGCAACCTCCGTCACCAGCGGTACAAATTCACTCATCCACGGTGTAACAACGCATGCAGAGGAGATCACACAGGGAGGTTGCAACCTCTCTCTTGTCTCTCTTTTTTCTTTACTTCTTTACAATCATTCACTTAGAACAAAAATAAAAAGAAAATGAAAGCCTTCATCCTTGCTTACCGAGTCTTGTTGCTTATGTTTAAACTAGACCATTAAATAATATACTCAACACAAACTTGTTATTGTTGATTGACTTCGTCTTAATATCTGCTAGGTTGTACATTGTGTCAATCTTCTGCATATTCGTGGTACCGTCCTGTACTAATTCTCGAGACTCCTATGTGCCTTATCAAATGATGGATTCCTTACTATATACAAGACAGTCTAACTGTCAAATACAGAGAAATATTATTTTGCCTATGCCCAAATTCTTTCATTAACCTTCTAATCCATATTGCCTTCTTACAAACTTGTAGTAGATAGAGCTACGATAGTCTGCAGCTTTGAAATCAGGATGGTAAAATCAGAATCAATATATCCTTTGATTGTAAAATATGATCTTCCATAAGATAATACAGCGGTTCCTCTGATATAGCTCAGAATCCTCTTAACCATATTCTAATGCTTTAATAAAATTAAATATTTAATTTAAGAATTAATTTTTATTTTCTTATTTACCATTGTAATTTATGATAAATTAATCTTATTTTTTTGTTTACCAATATGAATTAGGAAATGACTATTAAGTATTCCAAATATAATGATATCTTATTTGTTAGTAAATTAAATAAAAAATAATTTATATTAAATAAATATAAAAATCAAGAAAAACTTCGGAGGCTCACGTCCTCCTATTTAAGAGGAGGTATTTCTCTCCTTTATTTCTCACCTAGCCGAGCCCAAGAGGAATGAGTGTTGGAAAATCTAGGGCGATATCACATACGCATACGCAACGGAAAAATAGAAAACAAAATCCCAAAATTTCCTGTAGAAAAATAAGCTTCATCGTCGTGCAAAAATTGGTATGCAAAAACCCACGAAATTAAAGACTGCGCGTATAAGAAAGATGCATTACCTAGGGAGATCGTATATCCCTAAAAACCAGTAGATCTATGGTAGAGGATGAAGGAAGTCAACTGTCCTCCTCTCTAGTAGTGATCCATATGATAGGTGCTGTGAAGACGCTCCTCAAATCGTTACCCAAATTTCTACCTCATGCGCACCACGCAATCAAGAAGGGGTTGTCCCTTCTTGCTGTCCATACACCCCAAATAGGGGCTATAGTTTAATGAGGAGAGGGGGAGAGGAGAATAGGAGGTGACAATAAAAAGGAACCTAGCCCATTGCCCTTTGGTTTCCTCCTATTTATAAAGGCCCCTTATCAACTTACCCTAATGGATCCTAATATATCGGGTATTGGATCACCATCTAACTACCCAAGCATTTTAGATTAGTGGGTCTCTACCAAATAATCTCTTATTAGTTCTTATTGTATCTTATTCATAAAATCCAATAATTCAAGGGCATATTGGATATTAAATAAGATAGGGGGTCCAATAGTTATCTCATATCCGAATCTCTACTCATCGTAATACCTACCATATATGTATGACCCTCTAGGCTCAATATCAAACTGGTCATAAGTCACACTTATCAAAACTCCTTTGGGCTCAATGAATTATTATCTTCATAATAATTCACTCGACTTATCGACTGTGGACATATTAGGCCACTACACTACAATCCCCGAACGATAAGGAGAATCCAATCCATTGGACCTATTTGTCCTCAATTACTATGTATCTATAGTCTCTTATCCATCTAATACCCTAGAGATTGTATATCGGACATGATACTGTCAGGCCCATACAATTTTTAATCGAGTCTTGCTCTAATTAGATTCTTCCTGAGAACTCTTTCTCTCTCAATCCGAATGACCCTGGCCAGGGATTTGTCTGAGCAAGAAACATATGATATTTCTCTCATGACACCAAAAATAGATGATCCTCTATCGACACTCAATAGCCCTTATAAGGTTGGCTGCCACTCTCAATGATCAACTATGCTAGATTTAGAACTTCCAAGCCTATAAGTCTAGTATTAAAGAATAGAGTACTCATACATGACATCCTTAGTGTCTCAAGTCTAAGGACCAGATACACCACTAGGACGACGAAATCATTGTCTGATAATAAGATATCATCAACTATCCTACATTTTTAGAGTAAATTAATCAGTGAACTTATTCTCAAATGAGCATTTACATAGTATCCCTAGTGTCCCCACACGAGCAGCTATGAGACCAACCGCCTCTATCATTTGTATGGCTATATAGTACACTAGTCTATTTAGTTATCTTGATGTTCCTCTCGAGTAACCTATGATCAGAATTATTTAGGGTGTGTATTTAAAGGCGAATCGGTCTCATTATCGTGATCTTATCACAATCTAATTTCTATTGCACAAATCCATGAACATCACAATATATTTATACAACAAGCAATATAAAATGATAAAATACTAAATAATATAATAAGTAAAAAGACTACATATCATGTCACACGTGCTATCACTAACGTGATTGGCTTGTAGAGCACCTATGACTAGCAACGAGGAATTACATCCTATTAAGGAGAGGTAGGTTTCCCTACCTTTCTTGAAAATAAAATTTTTTATTTTGATTTCTTAAATATTAAATTTGTATAGTTTAAAAATATTCATCAATCCTTTTAATGCCAAAATATTTATTGTTCGATTAAAATATATTATGTAAAATTTTTAAGGGATTCTTCAATCCTCTTTAAAGGTTTTTATTTTGGATTTAAACATACTGAAATTCTACATATTTTATGTATTAAATATATGATATCTGATTTTTCATATTTAGATTAAGAATGTTATTTCCTCATATGATAGTTTATCTTTTAATCTTTTCTAGATTAAAATATACTATAAGTAGTTCAAAAAATATTTGTTAATCCTTACCGAGGGTAGGTAGGGTGATTCCTTTCGGGGATTAGCGGGTTGTCAGACATGGCACTTGGACGGTTCATCCGTTGTTGGGAGGAACATGTCTCTACTTTGACGGGTAAGGGACACCACTCCATCTATTTTTGGTAGTGCGATATGAGTTTGTCTCTATTTGTTGTTGAGAGAACACAAACTCATCCCATAAGATAAAACATCTCCATTCGCTGTTAGGGGAGTACTCCTTCGGGTATTCAATGTACGCCAATGAGATGATTGATTTTTTTATCATATATTCATTTTGAGTTGACTTTTGGGATTCCTACTCAGTGTTGTTGAATTTTTTTTATTTTTTATTTTTAGAGTAGCCTCCTAGTAGTACTAATTTGGATTCCAATAGAGAGCGGACCTTCCTCTACTACTAAGTAAAGCTACTTTCATGATTCTTCGAGTTAACATCACTATGTTTACTTTTCAACTTATGATTTGATGAATAAATAAATTATAATAAATATTTATAAATTATAAATAAAGTAATGTTTATCTACTTAGCTCAAAATGTGTGGAAATATATGATCATAAAAGAAAAAAAATCCAAGATGCGACAAATGCTCTCTGCCACGATTTGCCATGAAACAACTGACCATGACAAATATTAAGTCATGCGACAATCCATGTGTGCAATATTTGGTCTAGTAAGTATTAGAACAAATATTAAGCTATCCACCGCCAATGCATAAGGTACTCGAGACATTTTTATCCTCTCCGCTCCATTGCTAGCACACATATTGAAACTCATAGGAAGTGGGATAGAAAGTAGCTTACAATCTTGCATGTTGAAGTGCCATAAAATCTTTCTCAAGTACTTCTGAGAGCCATTCATAGGAAATGGAATAGAAATTGGCTTACAATCTTA